CCAGTTCCTTCCTTTGAAGTATAGTGTACAGCACATGGTATTCATTTCAAGGTACCATTTCAAGTCTCTGATGTCTGATATGTATGGATCCATGATTTAAAATCTGAAATATAACAGCATGATTTCCTTTTCATTGGGATAGCGAAATAGAAACAGAAATGGACACGGATGCGGACATCCCTCCCCAGACAGACACCCATTTGCTAGGCCTCACAAGGGGCTTACATCAGTGTGTGTCTTTTTACTGGGGCATATGGTATTCATTACATCCAACCTTTACTTCTATAATTATGCCATGATGGGAGTTCCTGTCAAAGCCATAAAGAAAATCCTATTTCCACCCCCTATAAAACTATCAACCACCAGTTTACAGACATGCCAAGATTGCAAAGAGAATACCTTACACCCCTATCATTAACCCTTTTGATAATGACTCACAGCCTTGTTCTCCTCCTCCTCTGGGTTTGCTGTCTGGGACGTTCAGTCATTGTTAGTGATAGGACACAACTGTTCCTGTTAAGAGGTGTGTTGGCAGCTCACCAGGAACCCTAAACAACTGTACAAAGTGAAGCAGACAAAATAATCCATATCGCATGCTTTGTGCATTTAGTCATAAGTGCAGTACAGAGCAAACACAGACCTTGCATTGACCTGCCTCTGAAATGGAGCTTTCTCAGGGGTGGCCACCAGTAGTTTAGTGGAGAAAAGGCTGGCAATTCTGTACCAGAGTTCAGAGCAGGAAATTAAGTTTGCTAAATCTTTCAGGAGAGAGGATTTTTTAAAATAAAAAGTAAGCAAAATTATTTATCTGAATGGGATTTGGGCTGGCCTCTCAAGAGCTCATGTAATTGCACCTCCAAAATTTGACTTGGAGCATCTTCTTCACCACTGCTCATTCTGAGGCATGGAGAAAAGTCCTGCTCACAAATCTGATCAGCAACATACCTCTGTGGTAGTACTCTGACTTTGCTATTCTGGCTGAACCATTTCAAGACATAAACTTGATAGTGCTGGAATCTCAAGGTCTTTCTCTTGCCCAGATTTTCCTTTGAAGAGTTAAGGCACTTCAATGGTCATTGTTGGAGCTGGAAATAGCACTGGGCTTACCTGAATCCTGCTCTGAAGCAACCAAACAAGGATCCCTCCCTTTCCTTTTGCAAACACTCGTGCTTTTGAATGCTTCTGACCACCCATAGGGCTGTTTGGTTTATGCATGTGTTTGCAAATGTGGCCATTTATTTATCAAAAATCTTAGTATACTGGTGTTAGCAAAGCAAAGTTAAAACAAAACCCTGTTTTGAAAGTGGAGAGGTGTAAGCCAGGAGTTTGGAAACTTTATGTGTGCATATGCCTTCAAATTGCTTCTTCATATATGGCAACCTCATGAATTTCATAAGGGTTTCTTAGATAAGGAAAATTCAAAAATAGTTTTTGACAGTTCCTCCTCTGAAATATAGCCTCTAACATCTGGTATTCATCATTGGTGATCTTGCATCCAAGTATTAGCCAGGACTGACCATGATTAACTTCCAAGATCAGACTGGATCTGGTTCCTTTAGGATACTGGCTCAAAATGCAACTGTAAGGATTTTAACCAGGGCCAGTTTTAAGGCGCATGTCATTCTGTTATTGTGCCAACATTGGCTCATTTCAAAAAGCAATTTAAGGTTATTCCCATTCAAGAAAGCCCTAAAATCTTTCACATTACATAGTTATATTGCTATGATTCAACTTTAACTGCCATGGCTCCATCCTATAGAATCCTGGGAATTATAGTTTAGTGAAACACTAGTGCTCCCTGGCTGAGAATCCTATCCCACCCTAAACTGCAAATCCCAGGATTCCATAGGATGGAACCATGGCAGTTAAAGTGGTAGTTAAATTATAGTGCTATAATTCTGTAATGCGAATCTCTTAGGGCAATGGAGGAGCTTTCTGGCTGAGAATTCTAAAGGCTAACCCCAAATCCCAGAATTGCAGGGGTAGGCAACCTTTCCCCTTTAAGGGCCGGGGGACTTCAGCTCCCAGAAGCCTCAGCCATTTTGGCCAATAGTCCCATGTTGGCCAATAGCTCCTGGGATTCTGGGAGCTGAAGTCCCTCGGCCCTTAAAGGGGAAAGGTTGCCTACCCCTGCAGAATTGTATAGGATGCTGCCAGGGCAGTTAAAGCAGAAGATAGTACTAAAGTGTAGTGCGAGAGGGTCATAGGTCTCCCTACTCCCACATTTTTTTTTTGTAAAAAACACCAAAACCTTTTTGCTGACCCCCTTCTTCAGGCTCTAAGGAACAATTTTGCTACATTTTGATGATCTTGTGCTCTGTTTTAGGACCAGGAGAGGTCTTTTCCCCAGCCAGACAGTAGAAGTCACTTCCAATTTGAGAAATTGGACTAAAACAGGCAAAAGAAAAAGGATGCTAAAATGACAGAATTGTTCCCATAGCACAGATAGTTTTTCCATAAACAAACAAACAAACAACCAGAGTGGAACAAGTTACATTTCAAAAATAACAAAGGCTGTTGTCACACTGCAGAATTAACGTAGTTTGGCACCGCTTTGTCATGGCTCCCTCCTATGTAATCCTGGGGTTTATTGTGTCACCAGAGCTCTCTAACAGAGAAGGCTAAATATCTCACAAATCTACAAATCTCATAATTCATAGCATTGGGTCAAGGCAGCGAAAGTGGTATCCAATTGATTTAATTCTGCTGTGTAGATGCAGCCAACGTTAAGGAGGGGTTGCAATGAACAATATTTTCTCGTTGTGTTCTAATTACTTTTAAAATGCCTGTTTAAATATTGTGAGCAGAATTTTCAATTTATATGCCAATCCTTCATAAAAGTTTTTTAAAAAGTTTTTTAAGTAAGAAAAATCAGTAACGTAGTTAGCAAGATAACAAGTTACTAGTTTGGAGAGGGGAAACTAATGTCAGATGAATTATTTGGGTTGTTGTTGTTATGAGTTACATAGTAAATTGCTTTAAAAATAAATACATTTCAAAGCCACTGGCTGCCATTTCAGCTATTTGCTTTAAGCAACCAAATGTCTCGTGAAAGCCCAGCTCAGATGGAGCCATATCCTCCACAAGCTCAAGTCTCAGAAACAAGAGCACATTCTGTTACAGAAAACCTACAACCTTTCTAAGCCATCAAGAAGTCTAGCTGCCATCTCAGGAACTTCATTTTCCTCAGAACTATGGGCCATATGTGTGAACAGAACACTCCCATTGACTATCAATCATTTTAAAGGTAATCAAACCAGTTTATTATTCTTTGATCTGATGTTTGAACTAATATTAATTGAATTTTGAATATTCTACTGCCAGGGGATAAAAACTGTAGATGGTGGCATTGTTCTGTGCCATAAGAGTGACCTGTTGTTTTGCAAATTCCTCTCTTTCTTTCTTTCACGTTCTTTCTTTCACTTTCTTTCTTTCACTTTCTTTCTCTTTCTTTCACTCGCTCTTTTTCTGCATGTGTTTTTGTGTGTGTGTGCTTTCAGGTCCTCTGTTGACTTAGGCAACCCCATGAATTTTAGAGGGTTTTCTTAGGCAAGGAATACTCAGAGGTGGTTTGCCATTGTCCTCCTCTGAAATCTAGCTTCCAGTACTTGGTATTCCCTGGTGGTCCCCCATTCAAGTACTCAGCAGATCTGAGTCTGCTTTGCTTCCAAGATTTTTGCGTGTTTATGCGCCTTCAAGTTGCCTGTTTACTTATGGTGACCCCATGAATTTCACAGGGTTTACTTAGGCAAAGAAAATTCAGAGGTGGTTTTTGCCAGTTCCTTCCTCTGAAATATAGCCTATAGCACCTGGTATTCATTGGTGGTCTCCCATCCGAGTACTAACCAGGGCTGACTCTACTTGCTGTAACAGTAAAAAATGGCATCTCCCCACAAGGTGGCACTAAAAAGCTTGTCTGAAGTTTTCCCCTCTCTAAATAGTTCCACATGAGCCAGGCAGTAAAGCAACATTAGCTCACCCACTTTCATCATTGTCCCTTCAGTCCAATCATAAGAGGGCTTTCAGTTTTTAAATTAAAGTCAAAAAGCTAGCAGTTTGGAACCTAAAAGTCTCAGCATTCAGGCCTTTGCTTAGGCGGTTCAGGCACACTCAGAAATTAAGGTTCAGTACTTACCAGAAAATATTATTCAGGACACAGATACTCATATTAAACTAATTCATAATCATATTCCCTTCTCAGGAAATGTTCACAGGAAAAGTGCAGAGATAGCTAAACTTGCAATGGCAGCGTGTCCTGCTTTGCAGAAGATGTGTGCTAATGGAGATATTTGTTCAATTCAGAGTGGGAAAGCGACTAACTATATTTGTGCTTCTCAAAATAATACACAAGTTGGAATGCAAATACCCTTTGGTTTACACTTCTCTGAATTTTTCTATGCAGTGCTCCAGTTTAAGGAATGCATGCAAAAAAACTGTACACAATGCATGCAAAAATGTGTACATGTTGTACACAATAAGGAAAACAGAATTCAGTAGTCCTATATGCAAAAACTACAGATAACAAGGGACAGTCCATGAAAAAGGAGGACCAAATGGCCATGCGTATGCAAATATGCACGTAAATGTCTATAAACATTGATATGAATTTTTTTTCTTCATAGAATAAAGAAAGGAAGTCTTGTGTGGGTCTGTGGGCATGCCTTCAATTTATTTGTTGACTTGGGGCAAACCCATGAACTTCATAGACTTTTCTTAAACAAGGAATAATAGTTTTGCCATTTCCTTCCTTGAAATATAGTCTATAGCACCTGATGGTCTCCCATCCAAGTATTAAACAGGGCTGACTCTACTTAGCTTCCAAGAACAGACAGGATCTGGTGTTTGTTTGAGAAAAAAGGTCTAATTATAAGACATAAATTGGCTGATGTTGTTGTATGCCTTCAAGTAATTTTCAGCTTATGGTGACCCTAAGGTGACCACATGGGGTTTTCTGAGGCTGTGATTGTGTGACTTACCCCAGGTCACCCAGTGGGGTTTCATGGCCAAGCAGGGATTCGAACCCTGGTCTCCAGAGTCACAGTCCAGTGCCCAAGCCATAAAGCCACACTGGCTCCACAGTTATCCATCCCTAATAAGGAGAGGGATGTCTAAGGGGGGATGCAGACCAGGGTGTCGGGGATGCTCTGGTCCGGAGCACTGCGGGACCGCAGCCTCCGCACCGCGGCGCTCCTGCGGCAACCCTAAAAGGAGCTCCAAATTGGTGCTCCTTTTAGAAGACAGGGAAAGTGTGCCCTAAACGCGTAGGGCGCACTTTCCCTGTCTTTTCCGCCGCAGCGTATGAGGACACTGCAGCGGGAGGTTGCCCTCGGTGCGCCGGCCGTGCGGAAGGCCAGCAGCTCCGAGGGCAACCTCGGGAAGAGGAAGGGGCGCCGCGTGTGCGGCTGCCCCTCCTCTTCCTTGCCTCCAAGACGGCTCAATAAGCCGTCTGCCGAGGCCCTAAAAGTCTTTCCAGTCCCAGTTCAGTTCAAAGGTAAATGCTGATATTCTACATCATCTACTTAGTTATGTCTGCAGAGCTAAGTAATGTCTACTGAAACATGTAATGTTTAACCTCCCTTGCAAAACTTGGATTTATTTTTATCCTTGTGGTGATAATGAAGATGCTGATATGAAGTGTGACCATATGATTCTACATTGTTAATGCTGTTGGATTGTTTGTTTTCTCAATTGCATCATTCATTTTTTAAAATCAATACAAAGATAAAGAACAATTTTGTCTTTTTATAATTTTAAGCAAACTTCAATGGAATTTTTTGTGGGAAGAGGATGGTGGGCACATTTGGAAAGTAAAATAAAATAATTCAGAAGGGAGAGCCTGAGGCCTTGAAATTGTTAACATGTGGACAGCAGGTGAACAGGCACCCAGGTCACCTGGCCATGGTCTTCTCCAATATGTTGAGAGAAACTGTAAAGTACGTTAGTTATTTCTAAATTTCCATCCATGCACCTGCATTAACAAACACACATTTTTGTACAATCTGTGCCTTCCTTTGTCTACTTTTTGGGTCATGTATAAATGGCCATGATAGGCCTGCAACAATAAAACATATAAATGTAATAAAACTGTAAATACAACTCATATTGTAAATATAACTCAAACTGCAAGTCTCATGATTCTTTCGGAGACCCCAAGACAGTTGGACACATAAAACAAGTACAATGCTCTACTGTTGTATTCATGCCCTTCCTATTAGGAAAAATGGCAGATGATGGTGGTGATGATGATGATCATAATGAACATTATTTATATCTTTCCTTTAACTTTTAAATTAGTAAAACATGTGCAGCCTGACCGCTTACATTCCAAAATAACATTTTCTACAAATTTGTTTTACAAACTGTTGTTGGTGTTATGTACTCTTTTTTTAGACTTTATTAATTAAAAAACATTGCTGTTGGATACAAAGTAGCATCCAACAAATATATAAAAAGAAAGAGAAAGAATTTTTTTTACACATACATAAACATACAAGTACACACATACAGATAAGACTAAGGGCCTTTGCAGACTGCTAGAGATAGTGCAAATTGAGTCCACTTTAAGGGTTAGGGTTAGGGTTAGGGAATCATGGGAACTGTATTTTATTGTGGCACCAGAGCTCTCTGACAGAGAAGGCTCAATGTCTCAGAAAAAAACAACACCATTTCCCATGACTCCCTAGCACTAACCCTAACCCTTAAAGTGGACTCAATTTGCACTATTTCTGGCAGTCTGCAAAGGCCTAACACAAAATAGCTTCCATCACTTATCCACTGAATCAGGATGATTCAAGCATATCAGTTTTATGTACTGTGTGTTATGTGTACTTTCAGATTGTTTCTGACTTACGGTGACCCTAAGACTGTGTTGGCGAACCTGTGGCATAAGTGCCAGAGATGGCACACACAGCCATTTCCCCTGGAATGTGGAGCAGAGAAGAGGAGGAAAAGGTGCTCCAGAGAGGCAGCTGAAGGCCCAGAAAGGTGTGGGGAGGAAGAAGTCCCACCCCAGAAGTCCAGCCCCCCCCCCCCGAGGTCCCACCTCCAGCATGGGGTAACATTCAGTGCTGGAAGGCCTTTTAGTCTAAAAGGTTCACCATCACTGCCCTAAGGTGAACCTATGAGGGGTTTTCTGGGGCTGAGAGTCTGTGACTTGCTCAATGTCACTGAGTGGCTTTCCATGGCTCAGTGGGGAATTGAACCCTGATCTCCAGAGTTGTAGTTCAACACTCAAACCACTACACTACACTCTGTTTTACAAACTAGCACCTTCATTTTAAAAGAAATAACTAAATGACCAGTCTTTAGATTCAACAATATTACATGGGATAGAGTCAATGTACCCCACCTGTTCCCCACCTGGCCTCCCTCCCTTGGCCAATATTATATCTACACAGGTTTTGTCACTCTGTTGATTTTGAAAGTGAAAGAGCCATGTGGAAGAATTTAAAAACCCAGTCTAATCTAGCTTTCTATCCCACAGTTGCCAGTCAGATGAGAAAGCCACAAGCAGGGCACAACCACAATACATCTCTCCTCTTGCTGTTTCCTGGTGAGGAGTACTACGAGGCATACTGTTTCTGATACTGGAATTAGTATATAAGCATATGGACTAGTGGCTATTGATCACCTTAGCCTCCATGAATTTGTCTAATCCCCCTTTAAAGCCATCCACGTTGTCAGCCATCACTACACTTTGTGGTGATGAATCCCTGTTTAGCATGTGTGAAGAAATTTGTTGTTGTTGTGTGACTTCAAGTCATTTCCAACTTTTGACTACCCTAAGGTTACTAGAGCTGGACAGTGAAGAAAGCAGACAGGAAGAAAATAAACTCATTTCAGATGTGATGCTGGAGAAGAGTGCTGGGGATATCACAGACAGCCAAAAATAAAAACAAATAAACAAAAAGCCAACAACAAACAAATGGGTCCTAGAACAGCTCAAGCCTGAACTCTCCCTGGAAGTTGATGAAACTACAGCTGTTGTACTTTGGCCATATCATGAGAAGGTATAACTCATTAGAAAAGGCA